CTCTCTCAGGGAGGAGTGATAGGGAATGGCAAAGGACACACTGACAAAGGAGATTAATCAGAACTTGCTTCGACAAGCACTGTGGCAATTGGACAGACATTCGGGGGCGGGGGGGTGGGGGGAGAGAAGAAAGAACTGGGGAGGAGGGTAGAGAAAACAGTGCAACAATGAATGACTGAAAATCCAAAAGCTCTGTAAATGTTCACTAAAACTAATAAAATTTAGTAATAATTAAAAAAAAAATCACCACTCTTAAAAAAAAAAAGTCTGCAAATAGTGGTTCTTTGAGCCTGAACCTAAACTCACTGCTGTAGCTCAACTGTTATCCAAATAATAGAGCTGCTTATAAGGTGACCAACCCCACCAGGGAATGATTAATTCTTTAGAATTAAGCAATACAAGATCAAAAGGGCAACATTTTTTAGGGTAATGCTTAGAAGGCAAGAGGTGTAGGACAGAAGGATTAATAAAAATGAGTCACACAAAAAGATCGAAGAGTGTGGTTATAAGGATTTCATAAAACAAAATGTGTATGAATGGCTAAATGAAAACCTCACTCATCAATTTTATCTTCTTCTGGTTGTTCATTTTTAGCTATATTTGCACATCTATTTATGCCACAGACTAGGGCTTCTAAATTTGTTCCTATTTTGTCTCTGATCATATTTATGGATTTTGGTTTTATCCCAGGTCTCTAATCCACTTCAAACTGGGTTTCGTGTATGGTGTGAGACATAAATCTTTTAATTTCTGCAGGTAGCGAAGTCCAGTTTTGCCAGTTGTAGTCAGGTCCCGTCAAGTATAAGCGATAGTGACCCTACAAACAACAGATCTGTCCTATGCTATGCCATCCTCACACTTCCTGATACATTAGAGCCCATTGTGGCAGTCAGTGTGTCAATCCACCTGGTTGAAGATCTTCCTCTCCTTCATCAACTCTCCGCTTTTCTAAGTATCCTGTCCCTCCCCAAGGTAAAACTTCTCCTATAGCAACATGCCCAAAGTATGTGAGGCAAAGCCTCATCATCTTTGTTCTCTAAAGAGCACTCTCACTGTACCCTCTCCACGACATGTATCTGTTTGTTTTTTTGTCAGTCCATGGGGTTCTCAGGGTTCTTCTCCAACACCACAGCTCAAAGGCACCAATTCTTTTTCTGTCACCCTGATTTATTGTGCAGCTCTCAGATGCATAGTAAGTGACTGGAAGGGCCATGGCCTCGATGATACATCTCAGTCCTCAAACTGACATCATTACTCCTCAATAATCTGGAGAGATCCCTAACTGCAGACTTTCCTAGTGCAATAAGTCTTCTGATCTCCTGACTGATGGTACCAGTACCAAGGAATCAAGAGCAAGATGAAGCTGTTGACAGTTTCAATCTTTTCTCCATCTATCATGATGATTTGGTCCAGTGGTAAGAATCTGTTTTCTTGACATTGTGATGCCATTTATATTGAAGGCTCTATTTTTTTATCTTCTGCAACAAGAGCTTCAAGTCCTCTTCACTTTTAGCAAGCAAGGCTGTGTCATATTCAAGTATGAGAGAAGAAGATTCACTATCCTTGCCTCTAAGGAGCACTCTGGCTGTACCATTTCAATATGACCCAGTCAGTCCACTGCTAGGAATATAACCCTAGGAAATCAGAAGTGAGACACGAACATATGTACACCTATGTTTATCGTAGCGTTATTCTCAATAGTAAGAAAATGGGGACAACCCAAATGCCCATCAACAAACGAATGGACAGAGAAATTGTGGTATATTTACCCATTAGAATATTATGCAGCAAAAAGAAGGAAGTATTTGTAAAATATGACACATCATGGGAGAAGTATGAAGGACATCATGTTTAGTAAAATAACACAGTCACAAAAAGACAAATAGTGCCCAAGATCACTACTGTGAAAACAGAAGGGTCACTGAGGGGTGGGGGTCAGGAGGAAGAGTAGAAATAGAACATGCAGGCAATGAACACTATGAGGACATGCGAGGATCAACTTGGGAAGAACCGAGATAAAGACAGTAAGGCTAATGCAATTAGCAAATGGGAGCAAAATATGAGTAACTGTTTAAAAAGGCAGGGGGGAAGGAAAGGGAGGAAGTGGTGGGAGAAGAGAGGGAATCACTATGGCAGAAGAGATCAGTGGGTGGATGGGGGATATGAAGGAACAGGCCAGGTAGAACAGATACTTGCCTCTGAAAACCTGCTGGAGGCTCAGCTAAGGGTCAGTTCTGACGTGATGACACACAATAACAATGACGGAGAGTTATTAACATAGGGTGAGAAAAGCCATGGATCAACAGTAATTAATGACAGAAAACACAATAATAAAATGGTTGTTTAAAATCTCATCAGCTCCTGACTTTTTGTAGCTATAGGTGCTGCATGAATCTATGAAGCTACTGCTCTAAGAAAAAGGTTTTAAACCAAGAATATTCCCTGAAGTCTTCTTAAAACCAAGTAACTGTTAAACCTAAAGAAAATTTGCTCCTTTACTTTCTTGCAGAAATTGTATTGAGTATTTATGTTTCTGATTCACTGAGTTAGTTTTTCTAACATTGTGTGAACAAAACTGATTTTTGTATGTTGTGTACCATAGAGTGGGAACTGACCCATAGCTGACCCTCTAGAGGGTTTTCAGAGGCAGTTAATCACATGGGAGACTGCCCATCTTTCTTCTGTGGAGCAGCCAGTGGTTTCAAACCTAGTGCCTTCAAGAGGGCAACACAGCTTCTTGCCACTTGGCCATGAGAGCTCCTAGTATACAGATCATTTATCTGGAAACCTTACTAAACGTATTTATTCTAGTGACTTTTTTCCTTAGATTGGTTTGGATTTCCTACTTTGACAATTATGCTATGAGTCAAAAAGAGATGGTGTCATTTCCCCCCTTCTGCCCTAGCCCTTGTTGTTGTTACTGTGTGCTGCAGGAACCAACCCACAGCTGACCCTTCGGCGGGTTTTCAGAGGCAGTTAATCGTACAGGAGATTGCCCATCCTCCTTCTCCAAAAGAGTGGCAGGTGGCCTCAAACTGCAGGCCTTTGGGACTGCATCATAGCTTCTTGCCAGTAGGCCACCAGAACCCTGGCTTGTGTTTAACACCACATAGGGTGGTCAGAGCTGACACTGCAGCTGGGCCGAAGGAAATGCATTAAATGCTAACACCTTCAGTTCCAGGAGCAAGCTCTCCCATCTGGGGGCAGTGTGAGTACTGCCCAGCAGATGGCACTCTAGCAGCACTGGACAGACTTAGACCCCCTTGAGGCTAAGCAGCCTGCAAGACTGACGGGACCCTAGAGTCTGCACCTGCCTAATGGGTCAGCATTCCATTTAAATAGTCTTAATTATAAAGCAGAGATAGGTTGTGGTGTTTGTTGTTGTGTACCATCAAGTCAGGCAATAAATTGTGATAGAGGCTGCCCATTTTTCTCCTGAGGGGCAGCTGGTGGATCGAAACCTCATGCCTCTGGGATGAAAGCAAAGCTTCTTACAGAGCTCAAGTAGTACCCAGAAAAAGAACCAGGAATCCAAGCACCATGGCTTGTGGGAAACAGTTCTCAACACTCATATAAGGTCAATGAGCTGGAGTTTCAAGAGTGACATGGCAAGGGTGATGAAACTTGGCAAAACCTCCAGCAGTATTCCCGACTACTCCACAGGAATGGACTCACACAAACGAGCATGAGGATGCTGGCCCCGTGAGACGGGAAAGCGGCACTGTCTCCAGCACCATGTCTTCTAGAGGGACCCACTGCTCAAACACAAGTGCTGGGGTACCCGTGCCCATGGGGCCCCCATGCTAGCTCTAGAGGGCTGACTCACTTCCCTAGACCATCCATGCCTCCACAACATGGTCCTCATACCCAGCCTCCGGGAGGGTGGCCTCTCCCTGACACGGAGCCTTGCAAGTGGCTCTCCACAGGGTCCACAAGCCAGGTGACCCCAAAACTACCCTGATGTCCCTTCCACACTGTGGCACCCAGGAAGAAGCCAATTTGTACTGTTTGCTTCTGTTACATTTTTCTCTTGAAAGGCCTAATTTCTACAGGGTCATCTGCCACAACAGTGTGAAGAGTACAAGGCTTGCTGGGGATCCCCAAAAGTCCCTTCTCCCACAGACTGTTCTTTTTCTGGAAGCTGAAGGAAAGGATCATTCAGAGAGACCAAACCTGAGGTAGGGCGACTTGCTAAGTTTTATCTCAAAACTGGGGGAAACATAATCTTTAGCTTGAACAGTCTTACAGTAAACGCTGGTGGCTGTAAGAAATGAAGTTTGTCATTACTTTCCTCAAACAACAAGGTGGTAAAGCAGGAAGTGCTCAAACATGTCCACAAATTATAAGTCTCTTATTCTGGATGTTAAAAGGAAACAAGAAAGGCAGGTGTGATGCTGCAGGTTATAGCCAATTTGTGAACGCAGAGCCACACTGTAGTCCTCAGAGTTTGTGAATTAAACCTTCTATCTGAGAGCTGAACTTCAGTCAATTTGAGAAGCAGCAGTTAAAGGTTAGGCTGTGTGAGACAAATGCCTACCAGAGATACGGGCACCAAAACTTCCAAGCCAGCTCTGTGAAGCAGCCACTGCCACAGGATGGTGGCTCACATTCCACTAACATGTAGGAACTTCCACCACTGACAAAGTACAAGGTTGTGTAGACTACCCTGGAATGAGGCAGGGGAATGGCACTGGGATGAAGGGACTCTGGCCATGCACTGCATAGCGATGCGTGGACTTCACCCATGAACTGAGTAAGGATGTGGACTCTGTCCCTGAACAAAGCAGGTGAACTCCACTGGGATACGTGGATGCTGCCTCTGAAATGCACAGGGAAGTAAAGACTTTGCCTCTGAAGGAGACAGGTGAATTGCACAAAGAGATGTGCAGACTCCGCGCTGACCTGTACAGCTATATTCAGTCTCCACCTTGAAAAGGCAGCTGACTGGTAGCCCCCGAAGCTCCCCTCACCTGGGTCCAAACACATGAACTTGCAGCATTCCTTGGGGTCTTTGAGGTACTGCTGGCAGCCCTGGGGCCGCTCACAGAGGGCAGCCACACACATCTCAGGCTCACCGCCGTGACAGGTGCAGCTCAGGCACAGGTCGTCCCCCTTGGGGGTGAAGGAAAAGCCTTCGTCCACCACGTTGTCCTTAATGTCAACACACGTCTGACCTGCAGAAGGCAAGCATGTGCACAAAGGTGTTATGAGCAGTGGTCCCAGGGATCAAGACCATCTCTACCCCCTAGCTGGGCTGCGGGATGAATGGAAGAGCTGCCCACACTGAGCCCTGGACAACAGCCAGACTTCCCTAGCTGCTGCACCACCCTGCCCCAGGAGCCTGGCCAGAATAACACAGACTTCAGACAGTACATGGATAAGGGTTTTCTAAATCCTTAAGTAGTTTTTAGTCAGGAAATCAAGGAGACCCACTGCACTGGGAAAATCTGCAGTTAGCGATCTCTCCAAATTACTGGGGAGTAATGATGTCAATTTGAGGACTAAGGTGTGTCTGATTCAGGCCATGATCTCTCCAATTATCTGCTATGCATCTGAGAGCTGGACAATGAAAACGGATGACAGAATGAGAACTGATAGAATAAGCCTTTGAGCTGTGATGTTGGAGAAAACGGAACATCCCATGGACAGCTAAGAAAATGAACAGGTATGTCTTGCAGAGGGTGCTGCCGGAGTGCTCTTTGGAGTCAAGAATGATGAGAATTCACCTGGCATCCTATGGGCATGTTGCCAGGAGGGGCTATGCCTTGGAGAAAGACATGATGCTGGGAAGGGTGGAGGGTTGGCAAAGGAGAAGACCCTCAACCAGGTGGACTGACACGGTGACTGCTGCAATGGGCTCTTGTGTGTCAGATGGCACAGGATAGAACAGAGTTCAGATCTTTTGTTCATAGGGTTGCTGAGTCGTACTTGACTTGACAGCACCTAACAACAACAACAACAACAACAACAACTAGTTTTCATGGAGTTTAAAATGTGTTAGCAATTTAGGGAGTGCTGGTGGCTTGGTGGTAAGGAGCTGCACTGTCATCTCAAAGGCAGGTGGTTATCAATCTACCAACTGCGCCATGGGAGAAAGATGGGCACTCACCTCCCATGTGATTTACTCTCTCTAAAAACCCCTTGGAGGATTGGTTACGGCTGGTTCCCACTCAATGGTACTCAACAATACTAAGTAGTGTCATGTCACCTGGATCCACAATCAACGTGCATGGAAGCTGCTGTTGTTGTTTTTAGGTACCATCTAGTTAACTACAACCCATAGTGACCCTATGAACACTAGTTACGAGCAGATCCTGAAGACCTCTGCCGTGATCAAGTCCACTGTTTGGGCCACAGTGTCAATTCATCTTGGTCCCCCCCCCATTTAAATAAATGTATTTCTTTTAACTTTGCTCTGTTCAGATTATGCCATTAGCTCAGTTATGAGAATAATCTTTCCAGGATGGTGGGTTATCAGCTAGCTTAATGGATGGAATTAGAAAGTGGAAAATGACAAATGTTAGGAAACATACATTAAGAGCTAATACGTCTGTTCCCCAAGCCTCCACGGGCTCGTCCACGCAACACCATCCCCTCAGAAAAAGTACAAAGGTTCTAAACGGGTACACAGGGTTCCCTCGTTCAAATTAGAGACCAACTAACTTAGAAACTAGCTGAGATACAGAGAAGAAACCCTGCTTTGAGATAAAATGCATGCATTTAAATGCGGTCCATCAAATTAGAAGTTGGCATGATACTAAATTCTTTGCCAAAAGAAAATGCATGAACGGAGGTGGGGAGAAGTCTCACTTTATGATCTTGCTCTCAAACGGCTTGGCACTCTCCACTTGTGGATGTACTTGAGGCAGTAGGTGTGGCTGCAGCTGGAAAGGATGAAGACCACCTCCATGCAGATCCCGCAGACCACGTCCTACCTGCGCTGAATGACAAACGAGAGCTCCACATCCTTCTATTGGGCCTTGATGTGCTGGGAGCACTGGGCAGTGTCCACCGGGTGGAGGACTTGAAGCCCACACATGCTGCACGAATCCCCATGCAGGTACACACAGTTCGCCCTGTAGTGGCACTCACCCACCGTAGGGGCAGAGCTGCTTCTTGGACTTGACAGTAGGCAGCTCCTTCTCAGTGTCCCCTTGGTCACTGCGTCCTGTGGGGGTGCTTCCATTCCGTTCAGGGAGGGGCGGTTCCGCCACAGTAGGGCTGCTCAGGGACAAAGTCAATGGCGTTGGCCTAGTCCTCTGCACCTGCCCCAACAGTGGCAAAGCGTGACATTCTCGACTTGGCCTCTCCTGCACTCATGTCAACGAGTGTCTCGACTCCAGCCAAGTGAGCGGAGGGAGCAGCCAGTGCCTCTTTGCCAGTGAGGTCTGCAGCAGGCGCTTCTTGTTTCAATGGTTTGCTGTATTTCTATCTGCAGTGGTCCCCAAAGATACAGTGGCCTTGCTTGGAAGTATTTGCACATGACGCCTCAGGGACTGTCAGATAGGCCGTGCAAGTAGCAACAGTTCTCGCATGAAATACCTGCAGGTGACCTGTTTCGTACAGCCGCTGCTGCCATCACTGCTGCTGGCTCCTCTGCTCCCCCGTCCCCTGGGCCTGTGTAGTGATAGTGGGGATAGGGGTGGGGGAGGCCACTGCCACTCCTGCTCCAGATGTTGTCCGATCCATCTTGTTGAGGGTCTTACTCTCGTTCTTGGATCCTGTACCTTTCCCAGCATGATGTCACTTTCCAAGGACTGGCCCCACCTGACAACATGCCCAAAGCATGTGTGAAGAAGTACACCTTGAATACATATCCTCTAAAACAAGTTATTTCATTTTACCAATAACCTTGGAAGCAGCAGTTAAGAAATAAAACAATGTATTTCACTGGGCAGATCTGCTGCCAAGGTCCTTTGCAGACCACACAACCTTACTTGCCAAAAAGGAAAAGGATCAGAAGTGCTTGCTGCAGAAGGTCAAGGACTGCAGCCTTCAATATGGATTGAAGCTCAACATTAAGAAAACAACGACTCTCACCACTGGGCCAGATAGATGGAGGGAGAAGAGACTGAGGTTGTTATCAATTTCCACTTAGTTGGTTCCACAAACAACATTCTTGGCACCAGCAGTTGGAAAAATCAAAAGATGAATTGTATTGGGCCAATTGGCAGCATCACAACAGATGGAGGCAAGACTGAGATGTTAACAATATCTGCTTGCTCTGGTCCACAATCAACACTACTGGCACCAGCAGTTGGAAAAATCAAAAGATGAATTGTATTGGGCCAATTGGCAGCATCACAACAGATGGAGGCAAGACTGAGATGTTAACAATATCTGCTTGCTCTGGTCCACAATCAACACTACTGGCACCAGCAGGTGGAAAAATCAAGAGATGAATTGTATTGGGAAAATCTGTGGTCAGGGACCTCTCCAGAGCATTAAAGAGAAACAATGTCAGTATAGAGATTAAAGTGCACTTTATCCAAGCTGCACAGGAGTTCTACAGGACACGTCACCTTCCCTTGGAGACAGCACAACTAAACTTAAGAGACACTGGTCAAAAGAAAAAATGTCAGCAGCCTACGTTTTTGGAATCACAGAAGCCAAGGAAGCTTAAGATACAAGCTGTCAGATCATGGGTTAGATAATGGAAGATATTTTCTGAAGGGACTTGG